GCCCTCCCACAGCTGGGGAAAGCGGAGGGCCAGTGAAGGGGGGCATCCACTGGGAAGATGGAGGGACCCCTTGGGGAAGAGTCCTTGGGCAGCAGTCTCACTGGGCTGCCAGAGGCAGAGGATGAGTGGGAGTCGCGGTGCATTTGTTGATTTCCACCCTTGTCTCTGTTAAAGTGACTGGGCTCCCCTCTGAGGATATTTAATCTTCCAGGGTCCATCTCCTAAACATTGCTGTCATTAGACATTCCCCAGGCTGGGGTTCACCTCCACCCCAGAGGTGGCTGCACTTCAGTGCTATCCTAGCCCGGAGGGATCTGCGGTCCCTTGGCATGTAAGAGAGAAAGAATCATAGAATATCAGTCTTGGAAGGGACCTCAGGAGGTCATCTAGTCCAACTCCCGGCCCAAAGCAGGACCGATCCCCAATTAAATCATGCCAGACAGGGCTTTGTCAAGAAACGTACTAGGGTAGTACCTAGAGATCAGGAATGCGTTGTGCCAAGTTCTGCCCAGACTCTGACTAGATTGCGGCCCCAGTTGTGTCAGGCGCTGCACAGACGTGTTGACACAGTCCTGCCCTGGAGATCTTTCGAGATAGACAGAGGAGGTGTATGGGGATAGATAAGTAGTACAAGTGTGACAACATCAATCAAACATTGCACCCACCTCTTTTACCCTCAGGCTCCACCCACTTGTCACCGTAAAACTCAGCCCCTGGGGTATTATTTCTGGGGTCAAGATGGACACATAACCAGAAGGAAGGAATGGCATGTGACCCCTCTGTAAACTCCCCCCGCCATTCTGTACCAAGTGGGGTGATTTTCAGCCCCACAGGACCTCCCTGAGAGTAGATTTGACCAATTAGGACAGGTTCTGGGATGGGGTGACCCACCCGAAAAGAGGGCTCTGTGACCCCTCTAAGAACTCCCCCCTCACCAAAGGGGTTTCAGCCCCCCTTAGAGCATTCCAGAAGGGAAACATCTACTAATCAGAAGAGGTGTAATGCCAGGGTCTAGGATGGAACCCTTCCCCACGCCCCCAATGTCTGGAGTTTTACTCTGGAGTTTTACAGTGATTTTAAGTATATCTTAACAGCAATAGACAGTCTCTCTACATGAGCCTGGGCCTTAGGCCTCAAAGATAAAATGGGCAGTGAAGTACCATGGCCTTTAAAGCTGTTTGCAGTGAAGGTTGCCTGCCTCAAAAATTATACACAGATCAGAGAAAAGAATTTCTCAACCAAACTTTAAGCAGATTGCTAAAGTGGCATGATGTGGGGGGTGTGGGGCCATTTAACAGAACTTTACAAATTCAGATGTGGAGACATTCTGCATCCCACAACCCAGTTCGCTACCTAACGTGTTACCTGAGTTTATAAAGAGTGACAACCGGAACTTTCACAGAACTATACATACCAGACCTGCTGATGTCAACCCCTCAAATTCTCTGAAGGTATGGAAAATGGTTTACGGAGACAGTTTTAAAATAAAACCAGTTGTTGCCCCTTTTAGAAAAGGCTACCACGTAAAACTATCTAAACCGAAAGAGCTTTTGAAAAAGGTTTGTGGGGGACTTTCCCATTCCCCTCACTCTTGTGTTTTCAATGACAGCCGAGATTCTAGAGAACAAGGCTGCAAACTTGGTGAGGCACCAATACAGAATCACCACCTACCAATTGAATCTGAGCCTTGCATTAATGCATTGATATAACTAATCCCCAGGTTTTCCATCGCACTGTTCACCAGTCGCTCTCCAACCACCCCCTCTCTTTAGACTCCTGCAGATCCTAACACCTGGATTCCGTCTGGAAGCCCCCTACCCATCTCGACAACCTCAGGGAGCAAAACTGGCTTGAAATACAACCAAGGCCGAAACGCACTTCTCCGCTCAGTTATTCTGTAACTAAATTCCCCCAGCCGGGCATGACATCATGGGCACGAGACCCAGTTGGACACAACGCCCTTGACATGGGGCGGATAAGAATATGTGTCACCAATGAATGTTTGCCCAATTTAAGGAGAAGGAATTTAACAACCTGTTCTGGGCGTGAGAGGGCAGCTGTCCTAATGGGGCCAACTCCATGGTCAACCTTAGTTACCTTGGGATAGTTTCACTAGATCCCCCATTTAGTGTCAATCGACCATCACTCCATTAGAGTAAATGGAACCAGATCCTGGGCTGGTGTCAATTGGCCCTAGCTCTATTGGACAGATCCCCAGCTGCTGTGAATTTGCCCTCTCTCTATGATCCACACCATCTCATGATCTGGCTAAACACCTCCAATGTGCAAACAGTCGCACCTCTACCCTTGTGACTGAGCTGAGTATCATCTCTTAACTCTGTTGCACGAACCAGGAGACTTTACGAGACAAGTTCTATAAAACACAAGCTGATGGGTTGAGAAAGAGTCGGTCTGAATTGTACTTAAAGAGGGAGTGGCCAGGCATGATGGTCGTATTGCATGTTGCTTTCAGTAAATCATTACACCCAATTACGTCCAATTCTGTCTTTGGCCTATATAGAGAGGAAAGGGGCCATGCTAGACAGGTTAGTGCATCTCTTCAACTTCCAGAGAAATTGGAGGTGAACTGGACTATTTTGCACCTGAAGGTAAGAGTTTCTAAGCTGTGTTATATTATCCGTTGTAATCTTCCCTGGTCTGCTGCAAAGCGGGTAAAGGCTGGAGATATATCTCAGGTGCACGCTCCCGCTGCAAAACCCCATGACGACGACAGAGCCGGGATAAAGCGGCTCAGTCTGTGCAAGGGAAAAGAAGTCTCACTCCTGGAGTGGTGGGGGAATGAAATAGGGAGATTTTCAAAGGAAAAACTGGCGGCGAGGGGGCCAGCATCTGCTGAAACTTCCTGGGAGTCGGGTCTCGGTCTCCCTTTGGCTGCTTTGAACGTCCCAGGTTTAGGGAGCAGAGATGAACCACTCGATGTACTTGATGTGGACTGTCAAAAAGCCTTCGGCACAGTCCCTCGCTGTACGGCAGGAAGGAATCGAAGCCGTCCTGGGGTGGGAGGCAATGGACCGTCATGGAGCAGAAACAGGACAACAGCCAGAAAACAGGAGTTTGCAGCGTTCTTGTAGCCATTCGGGTCCCGGGATATTAGAGAGACAAGGTCGGGGAGGGAAAAGCTTTTATTGGACCAGCTTCTGCTGGGGAGAGACACGAGTTGTCGAGCAACGCTGACTCACAGCAGAGCTCGGTGTCGCTCAGAAGCTCGTCTCTTCCCCCCACCTTGTGTCTCTAGAAAACAGAGCCAGAATTCAAGGGAATTTTGTGTGATGGCAAAAGCTTAAAAGTGGAGGCCTCCAGGCTCTGTGCTAGACCCAGCGTTCACGGTACTCAGATGATCTGACGGGGGGTGAGCGAGGAGGTGGTGAAATCTGCAGAGAAGGCAACGTATTGAGGTTAGTCGGGAACTTGAGGGAGATCGAAAGGAGCTGGGTCAACGGGCAACGCGATGGCAGATGAAGTTGAGTTTTGGTCAATGCAAAGTAACGCACATGGGCAGGGCGGGGGTCTGAAGCCTCCGAGACCTGACAGCTTCTAACCGAACTGGGCTGATCCAGGGAAGGGACCGGAGTGTCCCTGTAGGAGGATCAATGGACATCTCAGCTCGCTGCAGAAGTGGAAAGTGAAGAAGCCGCCCAAGGGGGTGGAGATAATGTGGAAACACTGTAGGGCCCCTCTGCAGATCGGCAGGATGCTCTGACCCTGGCGCCCCACAGGCCATGCCGGTCGCCCCATGTCACAAGGGACGGTGCAGACCTGGAGAAAATACGGAGGAGGGAGTGAAACCTGGGCCAGGCTAGAGCTCTGCAGCAGGACTGGGATCCCACGGGACCCACAGGACCTGCTGCCATAATAGCAGGAGCGGGTAAAAGTGCTTTGTTGCAGGTGGGATTGGGTGGGCAAAGAAAGCCGACTGCGGTAATATGCGGGAAAACACAGGGCAGCAGCTTGTCATCAGTAGAATTTCAGCAATAGAAAGCAAGTTGGCTTTTTAAAAATAAAAGTGTTTATACTTAAATTTAAGCAAAGGATAGAAAGCGATTTGATGTCCATTATAACAGCACTTAAATAACTTTTTACATGGTTTAAGTAAGATTTGTTTTATACTTTTAGCGGTAAGAATTATGTCTGACTTCCGTTTATATGTATAATATATTAACCAGACTATTTTCTTTAAAAGTGGCATGAGGGAATCTCTCTCTCTTGTAGGATTTGCGGGATCTAAGGTTTTTGCAGCTGGGAGCGAAATAAAAATGCAAGAAACAGTTTGGGGGCGGGTCGGAGTGGGATTTGAAAACCAGGCCTATGCAGGACTCTACCCTGCAGTTCCCACTCTGTTTTTCCAGGCATGTCAGTGGCAGGAGGGAGCTGGGAGAAATTTTTCGACCGAAACGTTTCTCCACTGAAAAACGCAGGTTCAGGGCGAGTGAGACATTTTGCAAATTTGTGTCAATTTCGCCACATTGCTGCAGCTGAAAAAAAATCCGAGAAAAAACACCTTGAAAAAATGGAAATGTTTTGTCTGGACATTTCCCGAATTAGACGTTTTGGATTTTTTCCAACTCAAAATGTCTTTTCATTTCAGAATTGATGGCAGCATTTCTATTTCATCCAATTTTAAAATCTTTCTAAATGCTTGAAAATGAACCAAAATCATTTTTCGTTCGGCTTTGCAGTTGGACGAGAATTTTGGGCCAACCCAAAACGATTTCCCACCCGATCTTTTGGAACTGCCAGTGAAGCACAGAATTGGTTATTTGTGTGACTCCGTTGCCTGGTGCTCCTCTGCCCAAATTTCGGCTGGAATTCCCTTTCTCGCCTCATTTTGGTCTTGACTCTCTCCTCTCCCCTCAGGCAGAGCTCGCTGTGTCAGCCGGTAGAAGGCCCCGTTCGGCTCCGAGCCCAGCCCCGTGGGCCTCCCAGCACCAGGATGGTTTCCTTCCTCCTCTGCCTTCTCCCTGCTCTCCTAGCTACGACGAATGCACAAACTACCCCACGTGAGTCACCTGCTTCTGTGGCCGTCTAACCCCTCCTGGGCTTGGACCCTTTATACTCCCCGGACCCCCAGTCAGGGGAACATCCAGCATGTGCAGGGAGGGGGGATTAGCTCTGTGTGGGGTACAGGGCCCTGTCTACACTATGGCTGCTGTCATGGCTTAGCCACAGAGCTGTGGCTGGGCCAGCAGAGCACCGTAGTGAAGATGCCTCGTGTCCAAAAGGACGGGGTTTTCCATCCCTCTAGGAACTCCCCTCTCTGAACGACGGTAGCCGAGTTGAGGGAAGCATTCACCCATCGACCTCCATCTCTCCCAGGGGTTAGACTGGTCACACTGCAGTGCTCAGGGTGTGAATTCCCCAAGGGCCGCAGCCATAGCAACCCATCTGTTGGGCGTGGACCTGAGGGACACCGTGACTGGACACTGCCCTGAATTCTTATTCCCACGAAGGCCCCTCTGCACTGCTTTGGCAGCATAAAGGGGAATTAATACAGGAGTAAATTACACAATAGGGGACTGAGTGTAACCTGGAATCAGGCCTACAATGTCCGGTAGCAGAGGGCTCTCCAACCGAGCAAACAGAGGCAGAATGAGATCCAATGGTGGGAGTTGAATTTAGATCAGTCCAAGGTGGAATTAATCCTGGCACCAGTTTCTCAAGGAGGGGTGGGGGTGGGGGTGGGGATTCTCCATCTCTTGGTCTCTGTACATTGGGATTGGACGTCCTTCTGGAAGATTGGCTCTAGCTCGACCATCAGATATGGGCTGCATGGAGGAAGGGCTGGGTGAGGTTTTCTGGCTTCAGCTAGGCAGGAGCTCAGACTAGATCAGCATCAGAGACTGAAACTCTTAGACTCTCTAAAAGAAAAGCTGTGAAGATGTTGCACTTACATAGCTTTTGTGCAGAGCGCTGTACATAAGGACTGAAGGGCAGAGATTCTCCACTTACAGGTCCCCAAGAGGTCTGTGCGCTGTGGTTAATATGACTTGTATCAATGGTAATTTGGGGAACAAGAGACAATGAACGTCCCTTTGTGCTGTTTAACACAGGTTTTTGCCTGGAAATTTCCATCCTTGCCATCCCCCGCATACTGTAAATGGCTGGGCTGATCCAGAGGGATGTGGGCAAAGTTGACTTTAACTTAAGCCTAGGGCCTGTAACCGGCTGTAAAACTGGGGGCCAGCGCAACACAGACCCTTCCCAAAGGGGAGCAATCCCCGCGAAGCTAAAGGCCAAGACAGCTGGCTTCTGCACCCCAAATCTTTCTGTCAGACCCCTCTGCTGGCCAGCAGGCAGCCCAGACAACCTGGCCGCACTCACCTCAATGGCATTTCCCTATTTCTGTGCAATGAAGTAACTTTTGAATGCTGCGTTCCATCAACTCCTAAATTGCAGAGGATGTTATAGACATCACTGGGCAGAACCCTATTGGTTTTTTTTGGGGGTGGGGACGGAATCATAAAACTGGAAGAGGGAAATCGGGGACACACAGAGCTGTTGGAGTCTGGCCAGCCCAGCCAGACCTTCAACCCCCTCTGTAACTGTGTGTAGATCAAAGAACCGGTTGATGGGGCCATTGACACCTTCCAGCCCATCAACACCCCCAGCCCAGCTCTGCCCAATGTCATCATGGAGCTTAACATGTTACACCCTGAGCGGCTGATCTCCCAGGCAGAAGGTCGGACGATGAGGCGGGGGAGGGGGAGGAGGAGGGCACACAGAACCCCTGGCATGGGGGGAGAATGGGGGACCCAGGTATGGGGGATGGGAATGGGGGGCACACAGAACCCCTGGCATGGGGAGAGAATAGGAGACCTTGGTACGGGGCAGGGGAATGGAGGGTACACAGAGCCCCTGGCATTATGTAGGGGGTGGGGGTCTGAGCCTGGCAAACCTGCTATAGAAGGAGATGGGAGGGGAACTCGAGTTTGTGAGGGCAATGGGGGGCTGCAAGGAGCCCTGGGTGGTGCAATGGATTCAGGCAACGCACGCTGAGAAGTGAGCGACTCTCCGGTACTGTGAATACCTTTAAAACAGGAATGAGATCTTGGGTGGGCGGAGCTGAATTTGTGGGCGGAGCTTGGGAAGAGCACCATCCCCTTCACCCGTCCCTTGCTGACCCCCTGCGTACCACTGGCCCAGGGCGGTTCAAACTGAGCAATTGCCGAGTGTCCCAGAGGAAACTGGGTCCGTTAACCCCTCGGTTGTTTGGAGCAGAGGGGGAAGACTTGGGGCTAAGGGACGTGTCAGAGTGAGACTGTTACGTCACAGTAAAAAGGAAACACGTGTTCTTCTTTCTCCAGCACAAACAGTGACATGCCAAGCGTGCTCCGGCTCAGCAGACTCCTGCCAGCCTCCAGCAGGGATCTGCACAGTAGACACGGCTAAAGGTGGCTGCTTTACGGTGGCAGAAGATATTAAACTGGGTAGGTGACATTGCCGTCAGTCCAGGCACATCCTACCCCACAGTCTGACACATCCTCATCGCTACGGCCAACCCCAGCACAATCCACCCACAAAGCACATTCACCCGGCACAGAACACTCAGTCTGAGCTCGACGCTTGATTTGTTCAGGCAACATTATAGGGTTGCGACTGGCAGACTGGGCGGTCTGAAATCCTGCCCCTTGGAGCCAGTTGCAGATCTGCCATTGACTTCAGTGGGGCCAGGATCTCACCCCTTGGGCTTTAGTTATGGATTTTTATTCACTACGTTTTCAGCTCCACAATGGACGGCTGCGCTGCAGCAAGCGAAGCTGCTTTGGGTGGAAATGCACGTTCTGAATTATGTTAAAAAAGGGAAATTGGCAGTGAGACCCCTTGTACACTACCGGGCTCCCAGAATCCTGTCTGAACCTCTTAGTCAGCTGCTCAGGGCTGGAGCCCGGCCTTACAAGATTTTTCTCCTTGCTTGGGATGCAAATTCAAGATAGTTTCTGCCTGTTTGACTTCAAGAGATTCCAAACCTTCTCCATTTTCAACTCCCTGGGATCAGGACAGTAGATTTCACTAGTTCCCTTCTCAATGTTTGCCCTTTTGAAATTGAAAACCTTAGTTACAGACCTGGTTTTGTTCATCCTTCCTTTGAATTAAAGAGATTTAATGTTTCCTTTCATTTACCCTGTAAGAAGGATGCATAGCACAAATCAGCTTTAATGTGATCTAGCTATCTATCCCCCCCCACCCTTCTGACCACAGTCAGGAAATTTTCCCAGCGCAGTCACAAATGGGTTTATTAAAACTTCCACCCACTCAGGGTATGGCTTCACTGCATTTAATGTGGGCCGTGACCCGGGGTTTAGCTCTAACCCCCGCCACCGTCCCTATTAACCACACACAGACCCTTTCACCTGAGTGGATATGAGCTGTGAGCTCAGGCTGGCGGTGCAGTTCAAGGTGTAGCTTAGACCCGGGTTCCACTTTAACTTTGCAGTGGGGACACAGCTGTACACTAGCTTATTTCACACAGTTGCCAATAGTCCTCCAATGCCTTCCCATAATTCCTTGGGGGCCATGTTTTCCTGCCCTCCTGCCTACTCACTTCTGCTGCAGCGAAATCACCTTCCGGTTTATCGACCCCTTGGGGACGTTTTAAACTCCACTTTCCCTGCAGCCGGCTTCGTCTCTACCTGGCTCTCAAGCAGAGTCGCCGTCGCAGAGACTCACGGCAGAGAACTGCACAGCTCAGGGCAGTGCTAACAACCATGGGACATGCCTGCAAAAGGCCTAACGTTGTCCCGGGGTTAGTGCAGCCCCGGCCTGGCGGTGTCCGGGTGGATCGAAGCCCCGGGAGGCTTAGCAGTGCAGATGCTGAGACCAGGGCGTGGCTAACTCGGGTTCACAGGTGGCCCCAAGAGCAGAGGTGGGAGAAGAGCATCCCATCTGGCTTTACAAATTGTCACTGAGGAAGAATCACCACGGCCCTTGGGAGATTGTCCCAGTGGTTAATCACCCTCCCTGTGAGACAGTCGCCTTATTTCCAGTCTGAGCCTGTTCGGCTCCAACTCCCAGCCACTGGATGGCGTCCGACCTTCCACCGCCCAACTGAGGAGCCCGTTAGTAAATGTTTGTTCCCCGGGTGGGTTCTGGCAGACGGGGATCACGTCACCCCCAAATCTGCTCTGTGTTCAGCTACATGGATGGAGCTCCTGGCATCTCTCGCTCTAATGCAGGTTTTCTAGCCCTTTAATCATCCTCATGGCTCTTCTCTGACCCCTCCCCAAGTGTGCAAACTCTTGCTGGAATGGTGGGTGCCAGAACTGGGCACGGGCTCCCAGCAACTTCACCCCAGGGCCAAACTCGGAGGTAAAATAACCTCCCTGCTCCGCCTCGAGGTTCCCCTGCCAGCCTCTCAGTTCTGTTCTTTGTTTTTTTAATTACAGTAGGCGAGACAAAGTCCACAAACCTTTCCAAAGGCTGCGTACGTGACTTCAGTGCTTTCATAAAAGGCCCCGTCACTGTCACTCTTGGGAATGGCAAGTATGTGCGGGTCAACATCACACAGTGCAACACAGACAAGTGTAACTCGGCTGTCCTGGCAGGTACGTAGGGATCTGGTTTTACGGTGCCGTTTCATGGCTTGTTGGAAGGGCACTAGCTCAAAGCACATGAACGAAGGGTTCACGCGCGTCAGCAGGCTGCACGTGGACAGCTGGGCCGTGGCAGGCTGGTGCAGGGTCGATTCAGAGCCCAGTGGAGCTTAGTCACCTCCCCCGCTTGCTACAGTCGAATGGTTCATGTGGACAAGCCCCGGCACGATTGTCTTTGTTACCATTTCTCCCCTTTATTGCCCTAAAGTCCACTCACTCGAATGTCATTTCTGTCGCCATTGAAATGGCTGTAGCTGGCGGGTCTCCAGACCAGGGGGTGGAACAGTCGGGGCCCATGTGAAATCAGACGGGCGAGGGCTGCAGGCGAGAGAGGGGGCAGCAGCCGGGATGGGCTCAAATCGAAACCTCCCTGAGCCTATCAGCCTCCACTTCAAACTCGCTGCGGGCTTTGCCCCCCACTTACTGTGGGAAGCTGCTCCAAGACGTCCCTCTTCTGATGGCTGGAAACTGAGTTCAGAGACTCGGGGCTGTTCATCGCTGGCCAGTTTATCCCCGTTGGTCCTTGTGAAAAAAATTCAAACCAGCCCGTTTGGCCATTTCCCCAAACAATTGGATTTCCCGTCGCTTTCAGCTTTTGAATGAGTGAGTGATCACAGCTGGGACATCGCCGGCGTCACAGAGATGTCGGGGGAGAACACACACGGCTGGGATATCGGCCCTGCGGGGCACAGCTTGCTCCGGGCGGGCAGGGACAAAGGGAGAAGGGGTTGCCTGGTATAGCAAATATGTCGGCACCTGCTCGGAGGCTGGGTTGGGAATAGGAGATGGACTTGTTGAAAGTCTCCGGGTCGGGATAAAAGGGGTAACAAGCAGTGGGGGGACGCCATGGGAGGGTCGGCGACAGACCAGCTAACCAGGAAGAAGAGGTGGGTGAGGCTTTTCTTAAACAACAAAATCCTGCAAAGCCCAGGCCGTGGTGGGGACGGGGGCTTTCAATCACCCAGAGATTGGTTGGGAAAATAACACAGCCGGGCTCAGATCATCCAGCAAGTTCTTGGAGTGCATTGGAGACAACTTTCTATTCCAATCCCCACTGCCTTGCCATGGATTCAGTGCCCCTCCCCCATACGCCTCTCCCCCATTCCCCTACCCCCCACCATCCTCCTTTCTGTCTTGGAGATCAGTCATTCCGGGTGTTACACCCCTGGGATGCTGGGCAGAACGGAGATGGGGGTGTCAGTGGGGCCATCGACCAGTTGTTTGATCTGAGACAGTTGCGGAGGGGGCTGGGCTAATCAGCTGGTGGGGGGAGGGAGGGGGGGCATGTTCTGATTTCTCCCAAAGACAGCAAGGTTCTGGCCCTCGGGGCCTAGAAAGTGCCTGGAAATGCTGGAATTGATCGGCTGCAGGCTTCCGAGGTTGCTGTGTGACAGACGGACGGAGCAATGCTGTCGGGCTGGGGATAGGGGCCTTTACACACTTGGGCAATGCAGGGGAGTGGGCGCACAATGTGGGGTAAATGAACTTCAACCCACCCTGTAACCGTGTGTCTCTCCGTTCTCAGTGCCCAAGGAGAACACCACCAAGAATGGGCTGCAGTGCCCAACCTGCTTTGCTCTGAATACCAATCCCTGCGACAGCCAAGACACCCCTTGTACAGGGGATGAGAACTATTGCATCAGTTTCGCTGGGAACCTAGTGAAAGGTAAATGCTGCCAGCTGGCCGCAGTGCGGGAGCGAGCCCGGGAACCTCACGCCTCGGGAACTCCCCAAAGGGCTGCTGAAACCTAGGGCCAGTCTACACTAGAAGGGCGACCGCGGTGCCATGGTACCGCATCCGGTGAAGACGCTCTGTGCTGACGGGCGAGAACTCTCCGGTCGGCATAATAAAACCACCTCCGCGAGCAGCAGTGGGGATGGCAGCGGGAAGTGGGCACCGGCACTTAGGGTGGCGTAACTTACACCGCTGAAGGAGGTGGCTTATTCACACCCTGGAGTGACGTAACTTGTACCTGCCCAAGCTGTAGTGTAGACAGGCCCCTAGAGTCTCCCAGACCCTCGGGCTGTGCTGAAGCTTTGGGAAGGTGGGGGCGGCCAAGAGGGGTTTTGGCCAGAGGGAAGGAGAGAGGAATTGGGAATTTTTTCCTTCCAGACCAGCTCCCCCGCCTCAGTGATGCTGCCCGGCTCCTGGAGTTATGACAACGCGTCTCTTGTTGTTATGTCAATGTTATGTCAATGATGCAGAGCTGGGGAGAGAACCCAGGAGTCCTGGCTCCCAGCCCCCACTGCTCTAACCCCTAGACCCCACTCCCTGTATGTTTAAGGTGGAGCTAAGCCATTGCTCTGTGTGGAAGCTCCTGTTCTCAGTGTGTGTCCAGGACTCCCAGCGCTTTGGGGTGTTTATAAAATAACTGAACCGAGCGGTCGGGGCTGCCGGGGACGCTGAGAGCCGGGCGTGTTCCTCGGGGGGCCGCGCGCTGGGGAAGGAGCCGCCCCCGGGCCATCAGCTGGGATCCAAACTCCAGCTTCAGTCTCTTGTGGAGCTGCAGAAAGGGGCGCGGGGGAGGCAAGAGGGGACCAGACGCCCGGCCTGCCGTGGCCGGTTACAGCGAGAGCAGGGAGAGCACCGGGAGGGTGGGACCGGGGGGCAGAGGCGGGAACCGCTGGATGGTGGAGACAGAGGTTCTGGGGGCAGAGAAGGAACCAGAGCTGCTCCCGCCTCATAACAGTCTGGTTTCCTTCCTCAGGTTCACCTCTAGAGATATCAACATTTGTTGCAAAAGGCTGCGCTACTGAGTCTGTGAAGGGCATTAAATCCGGAGACAGCCTGGTTTCTGCAGTCTACGGGTTCGTGTTCACAGAGGCGACCTCCAAACCTGCCACCTCCAGCGGAGCCAGCCCGGCTCTGGGGAAATTCTCCTTTGCCCTTTACCTGCCTGGCCTGACTGGGCTGCTGCTGGTGAAGCTGCTCTCCTGACCCCCTGCCCTGCACGGGCCATGCAGCCCCTGATTCCTGCACATTGGCGCCCGATATATGAGTCGAATGTTAATTCTATTGATTACTTTCGAAGTCCCAGCGATCACTGGGAGGTCTGACAGGTTCTGGTCCCTAGAGCCGTCCCAGCGTTCTTAACATTGCCGTTCAGCTGGGAACCCCGATGGGGCCGGTCGCAGCCCTCGCACTGGAGGAACCTTCTGTTTCTAATTGTTGATCAACACCCTGTAGCAGAATCACACAAGCTTCAGCCCAGCCCGGGGACAGCGTTACCACAGAATGTCCGTCTGCCCATCCCCGCACACCGCCCCTTGTGGAACAACCGGAATCGTTAGCCATTGTCTTCCTCCTCACCATCACCTTCCTCCAATGTCCTCAATGTCCCCCAAACGCTACATCCCGCTTGCCCCCTGCCCACAGCCTGGGGGACCATTTTTAACGCCACTGTGCCTAATGCCTATTCCTTAGGGGGTTCTCCCCTCCTCCTTATCTGTCTCTCCTCACCCTGCTGATGTCAGGGTCCCTTCTCCTGTAGGTTAGGATATTACTGATTTCAACTTATTATCACACATGTCAATTCCTTGCCATGGCCAGCCTGTGGTCAGACATCTGCAGATGTTCCCATCCAACAGTATCCCAAAGCTGGCGTTAGCTCACGTCCCTGTGGCTGGCTGGTGTCGTTATGGACAAACCTCCCCTGTTCCCAATCCCCCCAAATTTAGGGACGACCATTGGGCCATTTATCTGTGCCAAAGTTCATAGGCCCCAAGCCTTACGTTATGTTCCGGTTACCCATTGCTGAGCCACAAAATAATTTGCTTGTCTTTCTGTGTGTGTGTGAATATATCTAATCTGTATTAAAAATCTACATTCCAAGAACCCCGTGGAGTCACAGTTGAGCAGTCAGAAGTTAGGAAATGCCAGGTTGTCAGTGCAAGCGTAATCCAATCCCCCGGCGCGTTTGCATTCTGCTACAACCTGCGATTACACGATCACATACTGTATTTTTCCACCGCAGCCCTGCTTCCTTCAATATGTCTTTTTCTTCTGGCTTGGGGGTGGCGGGGTGTGTGTGTGTGGATGGAAATGAGCCACATCCTTTAGAAAGAGGTGTCTTCATTTAAGAATGGAGAATCCACTCTGTCCCTATCTCCTGGGAGCCAGGACTCCTGGGTTCCATCCCCAGCTCGGAGAGTGGAGGGGGGTCTAGTGGTCAGACCGCAGGGTGGGGAGATGCGGGGAGTCAGAACTTCTGGGTTCAACTAAGCAGCTGTTTGTCCTGATGTTAATCGTTGACCAAGCAGGGGAGTGATGCCGCACAGTGCTGGGGTGAGGGGCACCCCACGCAACTTTGGGGTGGGCACGGCAGATGCCTGGGGCTGTTCTGGGCCAAAGTGGGCAAAATCCAAATGTTTAGCAGGGAGGGGAATTAACCATCCAACAGTTCCCTGGGGCAGGGGTGGGAGCTCCGGCCCTGGCCCTCGTTAGCTCGAGATCTCATGGCAAGAATTTGTGGCGCATCTCCAGGTCCCCGGGGCCATGTGCCTCGCCGAGAAAAGCTTCCGGTTGGAAACTTCACCCAGTTTATTGTCCACCTGCAAATCCCCGCCTTGGCACCAGACCCGCAGAACGCCTGACGATTGCCAGGCAACCAGTGCCCCGAGCCCCCTGCCCACCCCGCTGGGCCAGACTGGCTCCTCAGTTCCTAATGTCGGGGGCCATGGGTAGGGTGACCAGAGAACAAGAGTGAAAAATCGGGACACTTCTTTTGCGGGGAGGAGGAGGATAGATGTGTATATTTGACAAAGCCCCTAATATCGGACCGTCTGGTCACCCGCATTGTTGGCCCCTCCCTGAAATGTGAGGGGGGGAGGGGTTGGTGGGCCCTCTCCCAGGACCCAAAGAAAGGGGAAGGGCCGAAGAGGGGTCATTATCCTGAGACTGACAGGCCCCAGGGCCAATGCGGAGAGGCCAGCCTTCCCGGTCAGCCTGATTGACAGGGCAGCAGGCCAATGCGGGAGTCAGGAGCCCAGGGCCCGTCCTCCGTGTGAGCTGGGGCTGGCTGAGGCAGGCTTTTATAGCAATAAAATGAAACCCGACGGGATCTTGTAAAAGGGGATAAGGCAAAATGCCGCGTTCAGTGTGAATACAGAAAGAGACCCAGTAAACACGTAATCACGTAGCCCAGGTGCTCACACAAAATACCACAAGTGGCAAAGCAAGTAAACAGTCATATTTACCGCATCCCATTCACTCCCACATGTCAGGGGGCTTATTCCTTCACCCGCTCACTTCCCTGGTCCTTCTCGCACCAACAGGAAGCAACCATACCCAAAGTCCAAAGGTGCAAACAATTCGATGTTTTTTGGGGTGAACTTCCAGCAAGCATGATTCCCGTTTCCTTCCTTAGTGTCCCCCTTCCCGGCTCTGACACCACAGAGCCTTTCACCTGCGGCCCTGTTCCCGTCCCCCCGCTTAGCAAAACATGATTCCGACTCCCCCACCCCCATTCCCTGTTCCCATCCCCCCCCCCACACCCACCCCCCGCTTCCTGATTGACTGCAGACTATATCGTAAAACCTGAGTTCTGCTTAGCTCGACCTGAACCAATCATTTTCCTGAAATTTCACTAACCAATCCTAACATATAGTAACATGATTATGTAACCAATTATATCCCACCACCTTAATTAGTTCACACCCAGCAAAATTAATTATACAGCAGACAGGAACAATCAAGATCCAGACCGAGATGATACAGACCAACAATGGGGAAATGGGGACTACGGTGACAGAACAACACAGAAGTGAGGATTTCACATCCCAGCTCTTGAGAAGTGACTTCTTGCCAGGCAGGATGCTCTCAAACTAAGTTTCCTTTTACACTTTCTAGGCACTTCCCTTTCTCTGGAGGCGATCGGCACTATCAGGACAGGATTGTATCCTAACAGCCCCATGGCACCTTCTTCCAGTGTGACTAGTTTGGGATGTGAGGAGGTGCCCGGTCGCTTCCCAGCTTGGGGCTGCCCCTGCTGCTTGGCCAGCGGCCTTAGCCTAAGCACAGGGCCTCAGACTGTCACAGTAAGAGAAGGCCCTTACACCGGCAGCCAGCGATTTTGATTCTTTCTTTTATACCTCTAGAACTAGCGAAGTGATAAGAATACACCTAAATTCTTAAGAGTCTAGGCCTTTACAGACAGGCCTGAATATCTATATCCTAACACCACACACATACTCATAAAAGTTCTGCAAAGTTGTTATAGTTACCAGCCTAGAGGTTGCTCACTCCTAGTTACTGGCCAGGTAACCTGGGCTTGAGCTTGGAGCGGAGTCTTTGTCAGACGCTCATCCGATGCTCCTGGAGGGTGGTTGTAGAACTAGACTCAAAGTCCTTTGTCTTTAGGGTCTGTTTTTAATCGGAGTTTTATTCCCAGGCCAGTCCATGGAGGTGGCTTCATCATGCTGTTGCTGAATCAGTCAGCAGATGGCACATCGCTGACGGCTCTGTGCTGCCCGATGTGATCTTGTTCTTTGGGTCTCCCATCCTTGCGGCTGTTGGGTGGGTTCCAGTCTGCCCTCCGGGGGTCATCCAGTTAGCTCCACTTAGCGCATTCTTCGGCCAATCGATACTGAAGTGGTAACTCTTAGGCTGGAACTCCTAACCGTTCATCTTCTATTTACACACAACATCCATTCACATGCATTCTCAAGCTTGATTTCGACACATATCTCTTCTGACTTTAACAACTCTTCGGGTGTAACAAAACTGCTTAACATAACAAACAAGATAAAGAACGGGAGAAGAGTGGGATTCTCTGTGTGCTGTTCCGAGGAACAGTTGTTTTTGCAAAGTCTTATCTCTTCTGACCCAGAATGTGCTGAGCAGTTTGGCTTTGCAAACCGCTCACAGAGAAAGGAAAAAGGAAAGGCCTTCTAATGAACATTACTTTGGGATCTTTAAACTATATCAAATTAAAAATCATACAGAAATCGTCTGGTATAGTAACAAGGGCAGGTCAGAGCTAAGGGGAGAGAATCAGCCCGAGGTGCTGCAACCCCCCTTACCTGCAGGCCCCAGTCCAGCAGGTGTCTCAGAGCACGCCGACCCCCCCACAATATGTCCGGAGGAGGAAGCCTCGTGTTATCCAGCAGCCTAGTGGTTAGAGCGCTCATCCTGGCTGTGGAAGAGGCTAGTGTGATGCTTTCCTCTACCTGGCCATCCCTTCCAGGGGCACAGCCTGACCCCCAGGCTATAGGTCCTTCCAGGCAGGGGTCTCTCTCAATCTCTCCTTTTCCAGCTCTTCCACTTGGGATAAAATATGTAAATAGTGGCAGATCCCCAGGCCCGACGGGACCCACTGGGGCCATCACGTCCAACCTCCTGTGTCACACGGGCCAGGGAACACCCCTCACAGGATTCCGAGAGCAGGTCTCTCAGCAAAAGCACCCAGGCTTGCCGTGAAAACGGCCACTGACGGGGAACCCAGCAGGACCCTTCAGAAACTGTTCCATCAGGTAATTCCTCTCCCTGGTAGACATGTGCGCCTTATTTCCAGTCTGAGTTTGTCCAGCTCCAGCTTCCAGCCTTGGGATCCGTCAGACCTTCCTTTGCTGGATTGAGCAGCCCCTTAGTAAGTATTCGTTCCCCATGTAGGGACTGACAGGCTGGGATCAAGTCATCCCTGGACCTTCTCTGTGTTCAGCTCAGTGGATCGAGCTGCTGGAGCCTGTCACTATGAAGCAGGTTTTCTAATTCTTTCGTCATTCTTGTAGCTCTTCTGCAATCAGCCAACCTCCCCCTTGACCTGTGGGCCCCAGAACTGGACACTGGATCCCAGCAGTGTCGCCCCAGGGCCAAAGCCAGAGGGAAAATCCCCTCCCTGCTCCTATGTGAGATTCCCCCTGTTTATTGGGCCACAGCAAACAAGCACACAAGAGAGAGAAGGACTGGACCTGGGAGGTGGGAGACTCAGGCTCTTACTCCAAGGAATGTTTCAATTACACACTGTGGGACAACATCAGTAGGAGGCTGAAATAAGCTCTCCGGGCAAAAGGGGTTTTCTGGCTGGTATAACTGCCCCTATGGGCTTTAGGCAGCACAGCGATGTCCCAGGAGATCACGCGCCCTGACCTGCATAGCTGTGCCAGCAAAAGTTTCTGGTGTAGACCCGGCCCTACTCGTGTGTGTTCAATGACAGCCGAGATTCCAGAGAACAAGGCTGCAAATTTGATGAGGTGATGCTACCAGACCACCACCTCCTAGCTGAATCTGAGCCATGACTTCATATGTGTTTGTAAATAATCCCCAGCTTTTCCATTACACTCTTCATCAGCCAGTCTCCAACCACTCTCTCTCTCAACTCCTGGAGATCCTGACACCTGGATTCCATCTGGAAGCCCCCTACCCATCTCGACAACCTGAGGGAGCAAAGCTGGCCTGTAATGCAACCAAGGCTGAAATGCTCTTCTCCTCTCAGTTCTTCTATAACTAAATTCCCCCAGCCGGGTGCAAGGTTGTGCTCTTGGGATCCAGTTTGACGCAACGCCCTGGTATGGGGCAGATAAGAAAATCTGTCACCAAATGAGTATTAACACATGTAACCCTTCTGCCCTTCAGAGTTGGCAGCAACAAGGGCCGGGGTCAGTATCTAGGGGTTCCCTTCCAATAACACAATGCAAAACCGGCTCGAGCCCCCACCCGGTGACCTGGGACAAATCTATACCACCCCCGCTGGGCGCCTCCAAGAGCCAATACTTCCCCTCTCGCAAGCACAGAGTCTGAGTGTAGCAAAAAGCCTTTTAATACCAGAGAGAAACAATGTGGCATTATGTTGGGGAAACACCACCGACAGGATTCATAACA